CTCAGAAAGACCAAGGTATCTGTCTTCCTCACCCCTTCCACACATGACTTGTAGCACCTTCCATTCCTTCAAGATTTCTGCTTTACCAGAGTTTGGCTGACATTGGTCAAAGCAACTGTTAAAAGGTGGTCTGAGAGGCAGCCAAGCGATGTGATTACAGGAGTCTGAAGAAACCACACTGGCAACGTTTCATCGTTGCACTGGGGTGCTAAGTCATTCTCTCTTTTCCTTGGCTCACAGAATATTTTATTATTCCATTTATACTGTAACAACTCCCCCAGAAAGCCACCATTCCTGTTCCCATTTGTGGGCTCTAGGGAGCTTTGCTCTTAATGCACTTCCTAATGTGGGGCATCTTCTCAAATAGGTTGCCCAGGAGCTTTGGAGAGCGGATGTTGGGTGTAAACACCAACAGCGGAAATGAAAAGCCTAATATTTAGTGACCTTTCACTACATTCCTGCGTAGTCTGAAACTTTGAAAGATGCTGGATGCAAAATGAGACGCAGAGAATTTTCTCTTCTTAAAACCATAGTTTGGATCACAACGTGCCAGATGTTGCTAACGATGACAGATGCAGTGGGTTAGGAAAGGCAGCAGCAGCAGCAGCAGACTAAAGAGAATTATAAAAAGAATTCACAGACCATGGAGTTTGCTTAGTTAAGCGTGGTAGCATTGCACTTTGTTATGTGCACCTGCCCTAATTCCTACTCGGTATATCCATTTTATGTGTCACATCTGGAATTTCTGTCAATTTTCTAATCTGAAACAGAAATGCAACGTTGGAATTTGTTCACTGGAGGACTCAGCTGTAACTTTAGGAGCAAATAAAAGAAATTACTTTGAGTTATATTAGTCTGGTTTTAAGATTATTTACTTATCAAGCACCAACTTTGATGTTAAATATTTATTTGTTAATACTTAAAAATTCCATTAGTGGTTCAGTCTAATTGTCCATTTTTTTCCAGCCTTCACTGAATAAGTAAATTGCTTATTATCCTTCTACTGCTTGTTTTACAACCTAGCCATGCATTTTTCATCTGATATTTGGAATATGGATATAAAGTGGAAGTGAGAATAAGCTATTTAAATCCTCCTCCATCTTGATTTATATTAATAATGTCAAGGAAATCTGCATATCTGCTGACAGGTAATCCCCGCTTTTCACCTTTTTCACTGATTTGCTGCCTTATGGAAACCTTATGGAGTGTTTTTCCAGAGGCGCATCATATCCAGCTCCTCTGGCATGGAAACAGAGAGGGATTCTGGCTTGTGCTCAGTGACGGCTGTGCAAACAGACAGGGACATGCATGAACTGGGTTTCTGTGGAAGGAGAACTATGTTAACTTACTGTTTGCACTAGTTTGTTCCCATTCACTAATATGTTCCTGCAGCCTTTTTCTTGGAGATGTGAACATAGGACCTGCTTATCTTTGGATCTATGCAACTTCAGGACACAATCTATACAGGACATGGTAAATAAGCTCAATTCTATTTTCGGAGTCAAAACTGGCTGTGTAGAAACACTCTTTACCTCTGTGTAAGAGTACTGAAAGCCAAACATTTTATTCTTAGAATACATTAAAAAAGAAAGAAAGAAAAAGGAAAGAAAAGAAAAGGAAAGGAAAGGAAAGGAAACGAAAGGAAAGGAAAGGAAACGAAAGGAAAGGAAAGGAAACGAAAGGAAAGGAAAGGAAACGAAAGGAAAGGAAAGGAAACGAAAGGAAAGGAAAGGAAACGAAAGGAAAGGAAAGGAAACGAAAGGAAAGGAAAGGAAACGAAAGGAAAGGAAAGGAAACGAAAGGAAAGGAAAGGAAACGAAAGGAAAGGAAAGGAAACGAAAGGAAAGGAAAGGAAACGAAAGGAAAGGAAAGGAAACGAAAGGAAAGGAAAGGAAACGAAAGGAAAGGAAAGGAAACGAAAGGAAAGGAAAGGAAACGAAAGGAAAGGAAAGGAAACGAAAGGAAAGGAAAGGAAACGAAAGGAAAGGAAAGGAAAAAGAAAAAGAAAAATCTGGAAATATTTCTGGCTTTCTATGTGAAGTGTACTTAAAACCTTAGGCAAAAAGGCAGCAGAGCCCAACACACACTCCTGAACACAACGTGCTCACAGCAGAAGCAGCTGAGGCACCACCGTAATCTCAGTTTTATTTTCGATACTGCAGAAAACAAGCGCAAATTTCTTCGCTTTCTCTCTGGATTTTCCACCGCCTTTCTTCTGTTCCCTACAAATATACAGGTAAATGCAATAATAATAATAATAATGAGAATAATAATAATGATGGTGATGATAATAATAATAATAATAATGAATGTCTATAAGTGGTAAGAACAGTAACCTGAGAAAAAGTTTATGTTTCAAGAGATTTTGATACCAAAAAGTGAGAATATATAGGCAGTAGGGGGGAAAAAAAAAGAAATAATATTTTATTTACTCTGTAATAAAACTTTCAGAGCTGTTTCAAGGCAAAAAAAAGAGAAAAAGGCCCCAAAGAAAAGTGCATAGCCCCCCGATTTCCTACCCTGGAAGTCATGTTTTGCTAATATAACTCTTGTCTCTGGCTTTTCAAAGCTCGCTTTCCTAATGGGGAGAGGTGACCAAGCGAAGGAGGGTGGCAGTTTTATAAATTAAAGTTAAGCACAGTCGAACAGCATGAGTGGAAAGAATGTAGGACCTAGTGTTTGTAATTATTTTGGCATGCTGTTGTCTAGGCTTGGTTGGGCTCTGTTGCTACCTCAGGATAAAGTTACTGTTGTGGACAATAGTGAAATTCCTCCTGCGGATTTTTCTATTGCGTGTGGAAAAAAATTATACATAAAGCCTTAAAGTGGGAAAAATTATTAAGGCCACAGTACTGGGAGCACCGGATTTTAAGATGCTTGCTTGTTTATTGTTTATTACACAGGACCATAAATCAAAACAGCTTTTTACAAGCTTGAAAAATCAGATGACTGTTGGTTGAAAGATCTAAAGCAGACTAGAAAGACAGACAAATACGAAATATAAGACCACAAAATGGATTACATCAGTCCACGTAACTATGCGGGCATCCCCATGATGCTGTGGCCTTCCTCCCTTAAACCGTTATTGATCAGTGTCACTTCGGACTGGGGTCCTTTGAGGTCATGCAAGCCTGTATGAGAGTGGAATACCACAGTGCAAGCATTTCTTGAGTTTTCAAACCAAAGATTCAACTTTGGAACTTGCTGGATCTTAAAGTATTGCCATCTGTGATGTGATGTGATGTGATGTGCAACCTCTTTGTCCAGGCAGCTCGTAGCTTTTGTGCCAGTGCTGCCAGGGCAAAAAGGTGCCTTATGGCAAGAATCTGGCAGAGTCTATAACGTGTCTAGCCCTACATGGGTTTAAGTGTGCTTTGTAATTAATACAGCCCCATCCTGAGCTGTGCACCCACCTTTCCATTCATGAAAACCACATTCAAAATGAGGTCTTCTGAGGGAAGAATAATCTGGCATGCCTGCTTTGGAACTCACTACTTTTGCCAAAAATATCTTGCCCTCTCCACTATGCAGCAGACTGTAGGAGAGCTAAGACATATGTGAATATATCTAGAAAGATAATTCTGTATGGAAGGATTATGTCTGGTTTTCTTGTTGCATAATATTTGCACTTGTCATTAGATAGGTTTATGTTCTGATAATTGTGCTTACTTAACACGGGATCTATAATTGGCCCTTGGCCTTCTGGGTTTACAGTTATCTTCACCGAACAAATAACGTAGCTGATGCTATCTAAACAAAAAGAAATCAAATGCCAGTTTTCTTATCCCTCTTATTAATATTTAAAAAACTAAAGATTAACAGCCCAAACACTCAAGAGAGATTCTAAAAAAAAAAGTCTCTACAGAAGTAAGTTTGGAGAGTGCAATTAGCAGAAGAATCATTTCTCTTTTCTCTGTGCTGGGGGACAGGAAGGAAGAGAGAAGGCTTACACTGTGCTCAAGGCCAACCGTCCCCAGTAAGCACCAGTACAGATGAAAATGCCCCAAGTGCTAGGGAGTGCTGTGGGAGCAACATTTACTGTCGTGATTTTGCCATGTACTTAGCGCACACACACTCTCTGTAGGCAGAGCTCTCCTGTGAACTTTGGAAAGGGTGAATCAAGTTGCCCTGGGCACAGCATACCAGCTTGGAGGTGTCCTATCCTGTCCAAGTGCCAGGCTTATTCTGCTAACTCTAACCCTAAAGATTTACTTTCTGCAAGGGCAGGATAGGGCACATAGAAGAGCAGTGGGAAGGTCCTGCGGAAGTGCCCATATAATTAGGATAATAGTTGAAATGTCTTTAGAGCCTCTGTCTGCCTGTGCAGGATAGATTGTGCCATATGAAGTGTCATTTCTGACTGTGGTGACAGGGTACTGGGGTGTATCACTGCTTTAGAGCTTGCCTTTCAGCTTGGTTATGCCCTTGCCATGGGTGATATAACCCTGAGCTTTCTTTGGAAATAACTGCTGGTCAAAACAGTAACCCCTTATGATGACTTGACTTTTCATTGAGCTTTGCAGACATGGGAAAACTTTGCACACCTGACAATGAGACTTCTGCAGCGTATCTGACCACCAATTCCACAATGTTCGGTGACCAATGTAGAATTACCAACAGCACAGGGCTTGGCTACCTGTGGAACCAACTGTTGCCTCTGTCCCACAGTGGGTCTTGACTGTATAATGCCAAAATGAATAACATGGTAGAGTCTGTTTCATGATTTGACTTGTGACTCTCTGAAGTTGACAGAAGTTTACCTTATATTAATGCCCACCTTGATGGATGTTTGTCACTTAGCCAATTGGTAGTTCTGCCTACAAGTTATAGTCCAGAATGTGAGTCATTATAAATCTGTAAGTAGCAGAGAAGGATTTTAACTGATCTCAGGATTTGAGTTGTCTCCTAAGGAATGAGCAGTTCTAGGCAAAAGGAGTTACCGGTACAAGGGAAGGCACTTTGATGATTATGTTATTTTGATTTGCTCCCAGGTGCTGAGGTATTTTACCACCCCTTGGATTCAATTTCTGTCGTAATATGGAGGTGGTTCAATCATCCTCTACAGAATTCATTAGTGCTGAGAAATCCCTCAAAAAGATACCCAGCATCCTTCTGGACAGCCTGGTAGAGGAACCTGAAGAAAGACATGCTGTCCCCAACCACCTGCTGGAATCCAGTAAGTTTCTACTGCCTTACTGTTCTCCAACCTTAAAGAAATCTGGTAGCGAGCAAAGCATTCATGTCTGTACTGTTCCTGACTGACCTCTAAATTTTGTGGTGATTGGTTGAAGCCATAAAGAGTCAGATGTCATGAAGTCACTGTGACAAGCATCACAGAATCACTATTATCTGATGTTGGAAGGGACTTCTGGAGATCACCTGGTTAAACTTTGCAGCTCAAAGCAGGGTCAGCTAGAGCAGGTTGCTCAGCACCCTGCCCAGTCAGGTTTTGAATATCTCCAAATTTGGAGACTCCACAACCTCCACCAGGACCCTCACATTCTTTTCTGCCAAGTTGCTTTCCAGTTAGTTGATCCTCAGTCTGTACTGGTACTTGGAGTTTTCTCTTCTCCAGGTGGAGGACTTAGCACTGATCTTTCCTGATCTTCAGGAGGATCAAGTCAGCTCGTTTCTGCAGCCTTTCAAGGTTGCTCTGAATATCAACGCACTCATCTGGTCTATCAACCATTCGTCCCAATTTTGTAGCATTTGTGAACTTGCTGTGCTGAGAGTGCAGTCTGCCCCATACTGAAGATATTAACGAAGATATTGAACAGGAGTTTGGTCAGACATGATTTCTCCTTCATAAATCCATTCTGACTACTCCCAGTCACATTCTTGTTCTTTATGTGCTTGGAAATATATTCCAGGATTATTTGCTCCATTCACTTTCCCAGGAATAGTTGGGAGACTGACTTGTAGTTGGATAATCCTGGATTCTCCATTTTCTCTAGAGGGAAACGATCCCAGGATCATGAACCTGCTGAGGTGACAGATGCCATCCTAGCACTTCATTCGATGAGTTAGGCATTTGCACATCCTGTCTTAGCAGAAGAAATAAGTTCTGTCTCCCTTTCCTCTCTATAACACGCTGGGTGCTACATAAACACACTGGATAAATGTAACCATCATGATATCTGTTTCACCTGGTCTCCTTTTCTCCCTGATTGATTTTTTTTTTTCTCCAGGGACTTACTCCAAACTTCAGAGGAATGAAGTCATCCAGGCTGAGCCTGCTGTGTTGCACTATGGAGGGTATAAAATTGGAAAACATCACCAGCAGACGCTAGTAAGTGTCAGAGCAGAGATCTTCTCAGGGCTTGTAAATGATAACAAAAGCTGAGTGGGTTGCTTGCATTCATGAGTCCCCTTGCTGTACAGAGTACTCTGTAAGGTAGCTCTACCCCAGGGGCCTCGAGGTAGCAAAACAGAAGGTAACAAAACAGACAAGAGGTTGTCCTTTGCGGTCTCTCTTTTACCTGTGTCTGTGAGCAGGGTTAGAATGATGGGTGGCTTGCATGTCACTCATAAAGGATCCCTGCTTTAAACCCATAAAGGATTGTTCTCAGAATGTGTTGGACTGACTTTGTGGCTCCAGGCATGTTCACTGGTGGGAAGATTTTGAAAGTATTTGGCCTTGTGACAAGGGTGGTGTGATTTAAGGAAGGAAAGTCAGGACATATATGTTTGATTCTCTTTCCAGATGAATAATTTGAGCATCTGCTTTTCCTCTCTCTGCTTTTCCTTTTGTCTGTCTTTGTTCATATAGAAAGTGCTTTGAGGCAGAGGTTGGATGGCTATGATGGGCTAGGTTGACCAGGTATAAGGAAAGTAAACAAGATGCAGGAGGCTTTGCAGGCTGAACTGGCACAGTCCAAAGGTTTGTTACTTTGTGATCCAGAACAAAACAGGGGAATATTAAGCAATTTCTGTTATTTCCTACCTCTGTAAAAGTGAGGTCAATAGTTGCTATTTTTTTAAGTTCCTTTTGCCTGTAAACAAAACAGCACCAGAATTTGATTCAGAGGTATCAGAGTAATCAGTGATTACTCTTGCTGATTTCAGGGATTTACATGGAATAAGATGTAAATCTTCCTATGTAAAGAACTCTGAGTTGGTTCCAAAGATTAAAAATGTGGGTTGCAAGGTTTAAATAGTTTTGTTTTAAAATATAAAGCATATTAAAGCTATTTCTACCAAGGTAGAAATGATTACTTCCTTGCTTAATGTAGCTTGTTTGCTGTGGAGAGTTTCAAAAGTGCAATAGGCATTCCCAGATGACCTGTCATATTGTAAAACATTTTGGTTTTTGTTTTTCTTTTGTTCAACAGAAGCTGATAAATATTTCTGGTGATGTAATAAACCTTCACATTATACCACCCCAGACAAAGTATTTCCAGATTAAATACAACAAAACAGTAAGTGTCAGTAGACCCTCATACAGCTCTTTGCACACATCACCATGTTGTTTCATATTTCAGTTTTCATCTGCCTTCTCTCCGTGTTGTTTTCTAGCACCGTCTTGTCCCTGGCTTGTCATTTGTGGTTACTGTTGACTTTTGTCCTGATGAGTGGCGATATTACTATGATTGCATCCGAATTCATTGTCAGGTAAGGGTTTATTGTAAGAAAATATAGTTTTAATGGAATAAAACAGCAGTTAAGCTGCTGGCTTATTAGGGCCACATGAATTCATATGAAGAAGTCAGAATTGGAACATTTTGATTTTAAGCACCCATTTTTTTTTCTAGCATAAAATTTTCAGACTGTAAATATCCCAGAGTTGTGGGTAAAAAATCTTCCTCCTCCTCCTTTTTGTCCATAGATCTATCTTTGAGCTTTACTGATGGAGTGTTTCAGCAGAGCAGGTTTGCAGGTGCTTTAGGTAGTTATTGACAACATAGAAAGACAGATGAATACTAAAAGCAGACAGAATAGCCTTAGCCAACATAGTGGCTTAGTCTTAGAGGTGTTGCATACCCAGTTACTGACTAAATGTAATATAAGCTTTTACTTTCCATAACATGTATTCAATGTAAGAAATTAATATTTACCATGTTTTTTGGTAGGGAGAAGATACATTACTCATTCCTGCGCATGCCTACCCTGCTGTGAATGTTGTAGAATTTCCATCATTTATAAATCTGTCTGATGTATCAGTTGGACAGAGGTGAGTGAAGGAGATACATGTGTAGGAGATACAGAAAAATATATATGTAAATGGAACTGGGATTTTAGCTAGTCTAAATTAGTGTTGAGTCACTTCATTCATCATCTGGTGAAGCAAAGGATCTTCAGGAGCAGGCCGTAGTAAGGCAGAGAAAAAAAAAGACATTTCCTATTATTATTTATTTTCCTAAGCTTTTCAAAATGTGTTTTCCAAAGGAACACTCTGTATAACATGTGTTTTTTTTTTCCTTTTTTTTTTTGCTAATCAACAAGGTAAGATTTTAGTCAAACAGTTTGTATGAAACAGAAATAAGCCTGGGCGAATTAGTCTTGATTTGTGGGATGATGGACGGAGTTAGACCAGCTCTTGCATTTCAGCTTGATACATGAAAACAGATTCAGAAAAAAAGCCAGGGGACATGAATAGATGTGTTCTAATATCTCTTCCCACAATCAAAATGAGGCTTAAAGGGTGTTTATGAAAATGAGGTCCCTGCAGCGTTACTTCTGCAATGGTTAAAGTTCAATCCTGCTGGTGTATCAGAGTATCCAGCTCTTTTGAAGGCTTTACACTAGAGTCTTCTCTTACTCTTTTCTGCAAGGAAGCCCATGCAAGGAGCCTGATTTCTGATTCTGTACTTATTGTTGCTTCAGTTTGGATTATTCTTGTTTGCTAGACAATGCTGAGATGCACAGAAATGACTTTTAAAAAGCTATTTTTTTCTGTAACATGTTCTTTTTGGCTAGTAGAAAGTAATTTAAGATGTAAACTACCTAGCAATCAAATCAAGATTTAGTTCTAATTTCCCGAATGAATTGTCTGAAATATTTTACTATTTTGGAACAACAAGAAATGACTATTTTCATATTAAAGTAATCCATCTCTCTTACATGGATAGATCCAGTGCATGTTGTGTATAATATTTTCCAGCTAACTAATGATCAACTGCAATTTCATTAATTCTTTCTTCTTCCTTTCTCTCTTTTTCAGTAAGGAATATGTTATACCTTTGCAGTGCAGCTGTCCAATAGATTTTGAATTCCACATTGATTTCATTCAGCGGCACAAAGCCTTCACTGTCCAGCCAACATCTGGTAGATTGCACTAGCTTAAAATTCTAAAACTTAAATGCATATTGGTTGCGTGTATTTACTTGTAAGCATTTCTTCAGTGTTGGGTAGAAATGTGTATAGAAAGAAACAGCCTTTGCCCCAGAGTATTTGTGGATAAAAGCCTGGCCCTCAAGTGGCTCAGTGACCCTGTGTGACACTCCTTAGTGTTGGAAAATTATCTTTTGAAGCTGCTTGGGTATTATCAAATCTGGGTTGTAGAGAGGAAATAATCACTGCTTCAGGACAGCCGATTTATCTACGGAGTGTTGTGAACCTCTCTTACTGAAGAAATATATCAAAGGCTGTGGCAGCAACTGTGTGCGTTGCTGCTGATCCTGTTGTTGATACACAGGAAAAATAAAAGGTGGCCTCTGCTCCATCAAACTTATCCCCATACCCGTGTTTCCTTAGTGGCCTGGAAGAATTCACTGCAACTATGTGTGTTGCTTCAGGAGCTGTTACAGTCAAATGTATTGTTCACAAAGAAAGTAAACTGTGTTGCTGCCTTGTTTTTGGCTATTTTTCTTGCTGTGTGCTGTGAGAAGTTGTAGTTGTAAGGGAGGAAAAGGAAAAAAAATACAGTTGAACAGAGCTAGGAATGAGGTATACAAATCATTACTTTTTTTTCACAGTCACAAGCAAAGTTGCTGGAACTATTTCAAGTTTTCTAGTTCTGATGAGAGAAGAAATACAAAAATCCCAGAAAAGCATCTGTCTAGTAGAAGTTGGTAGCCGAAAGTTAAATCAGTCAACCACGAGGGTGTTGAGAACTCTCTAAGGAACAATAAGCAGTTTCAGCTCCTACTCAAATCATCAGACGCTGCAATTAGCAGTGATTAAGTAATGTAACCAGTTACACACAAATAAATGCACAATGAATCTAACTGTTCTTTAAAACTATAGGTTGCAGGGAACTAGGCAGTGGTCACTTTACAAAGATAATGAATTAGTATTGTGTGATATTAATAATGAACTGAATAAAGTTCTTTTTCTCCAAACTGAGAAACATTGGGGCTGTACCTTCAGATTGCACTGACTGTTCAGAGTTAAAGTGGTTTGAGAAAATCGTGGTATGGATATTTAGGAAGTAAAGGCAACTAACAGTAAAGGCAACTAACACATCAAATATGGACCATTCCCCAAACCTGAAAGAACACTGAGAAATATAATTTATAATGCTATTTATAATGTTTTCTTGAGAAACCAAAAATAACAGAGACTTGAGAGCAGCAGATATAAGTGGAGTGTTTTGCATATAAACAGTGTCTGTCATTTTCAAAACAGCAGGGAGTAGTCTTGTAATCTAAGTGTCAAATCTCACTGCTATTGAAAAATACCTCCCATTAGTTGGTAACCGATAGTTCTGGAAACATACTTAGAGACCTGAAATAGTTTCCAGGCCTGCTGAAATCAACTCAGACACTAATATTGTTCAAAAATATATTCTAGAATCCATTTAGTAGACCTGAGTGGATTGTCATGGGAAGTATTCTCATTATTTTTCTCCTCTAATTACAGGAATCATTCCAGGTAATGGGAAAGTGGAAGTAACTGTGAAATATTCTCCACTTCAGTATGGAACAGCGCACATGAAAATGCAGTTGTGGATTTCACAGTTTCACTCAAAACCCTATGTATGTGTATTCACAGGAACATCAACACCCCATCTAGGTCTAATGTATGTGTGGGTGACAGATCTTTGAATATTTTTGTTCAATTCTAAAAAAGTACTCAGGAAATGGGGTTTCATGCAAATTTGCTGTAATCTTTTTAAGCATTTGTGTTCATGTAAACTTAAAATGCTCTAACGTTATTCAAGTCTTAATGCTGGTACCTGCTCTTTTGGTTGCATATCAACTTCTCAGAATACTCTGACTTTGTGTGAAATGAAACTGTACCAAAATAAAAACAAGATGTTAAATACCCCCAAAGAAGTGTTGGGCATTCTCAGCCTCTATTATACCTGCTATATTTTGCTGTTGTTGCTGAGATCTTGCAGGACAGAGGATCTTTTTTAAGCAGTTAGATCTTTGTCCTATGATTATTTTTTTTTATAAACTGGGAAGATAATGAAATTAGAAAGTTTGATTCCAGTCATAATTTGGGAGAGAAAATTCCAGCTTGTTTTGTGTATCTGGGAGGGATGTAAATGCACGTTCTGCACTTAAATCCCATTTGCAGAGTACTTATGAGACCAATGTCTGCCCTTCTGACACCTAGAAAAGAAGAATTCGAAAAACAAACAAGTCCTTCAAAGAAAAAAGCTGTGTCTGCAGGAAAATCACTGGTGTGGAGAAGAGACCAGTCCAGTCAGCCACGATCCAGGCCTATTCAAAAAGTAAAGGTGTGATGCACTAATAAGCAGAAGTACTTTTCAGGACTAACCCTCTTCCTTGTTTCTATTCCTCCACATTAATTGTTATCTTCTAGGAAATTGAATACCAAAACCTCAGATTCCCCACAGACTTGTCAAATCCACATGCTGTGGCAACTGTTTTGAATCAGGAACCAGGCAAATTGAAGATTAAGGACTTAAAAGAAGGTAACATACTTAATCAGTAAAAAAAATAGTCTTATAATTTTGTATAAGATTCCAATGGGCAACTCAGCTTCAGAATTGTTGAGGTCATGTGATTACTGTTTCTGTGCGAAATGTCACCTTAGCTTTGTGTATTAATAAGTTCAGTTATCACAATGGATGTGTTTCCCAATTAAAAACTCAGATCTAATTTGACGTAAGATATGGCTTTCTGACATTCCTGCAGTCCTTCGCCAAGGCAATGAAGGGACAAAAACAAGACAGATGAAGGAAGCTGTATTTGAACAAAAAGTTAAACAAGCTGTGCAAGAAGAGGAGGAGAACCATATGAAGTGGTGAGTGTTAATTATCACCATTATTAGCAACATTAGAATTTGCTTAACTAAGGCTCTTGTAAATGATGTATGTGTTATCCACTGATGCGTAATGCTGCCATTTCAGGTTTTGATGGGTTTTTCCTACATTTAAGTTACTATTGTTTCACTTCCATTTTTTCCACTTCTGCCTAAGGGAAATCAGATTAGTTTTAGTAGTGGTAACTGAATGAGGTCTTTGATTTTACTGTGGTTGTGTTCAGATTAAAAACTGCTGCTCTCCTGTTCTCCTTGCTCTGTTCTCATATATTCCTGCCTTGTGCCCTGTGCTAAAGACAAAAAAGCAAGAGCTTTCGCCATGGTTGTTAATAAAGGTTGAATCTGAACTAAAATGCATATAATACAGAGTGAATAGAATTACATATGTGTATCAAATAGTGTAAAGTAACATGCATAATCATGTGTTTAAGCACAATGCAGTTTCATTTGCAATCCATTTTTCATAGCACAGGCTATAATCCTCTCAACATCTTAGGAAGAGAAGAATTAGTCCATTTTCCTTTAAATAAGCAAACTGTGTTAAGTATAACATTTTTCTTTACTATAAATTTAGGCAAGTTCATAAAGGCAAAGATCCAATGTCTATGAAATTTAAAAAAGAGATTATTGAAAACCGACAGAGGGAAGAAGAACAATACAAGGTTAGTCTTTGCTGTTAGTTCTGTTATTTTAAAATCAAACTTACACTTTTAGACTACCTCCTGTGCACTACTGAACATTATTAAGTTCTTAGTCTTTTCAGTTTTTCTTAATACATCAGTACAAACCTGTACTAGCTGCATTCTTCCTGCAGTTTTATTGTGATTATTTCTGCCTATCATTGTTTATTAAATGTTTTTATGTGGGGGAAGAGGGAAAATATTAGTGGAAGTGCAACACAATATTTTCCCAACCTGGCAGCTTTGCACCGAGCCCCATTCCAGTGCAATGCTGCAGCAGAATCTTCTCAGCCCTGTGGTGGCCTCCAGGCCTTCTGTGTGCATGGTACTGCTCTGAAGAGTTAGTGTCCTGAGTGGCTCGAAGCTAAACCCAGTCAGTACTCACACAGAGCCATAGCGAAATACTTTATCAGGTGCCTCCTCCAGAGCCTCGTCCTATCTTTGGTTTCTTCCAGACACCCCAGGCTGTGATTTGTCTTTCATGAGGTGACAGCAGCAGCAGGTGGGGGCAGGAAACATTGGTTCTCCAATAGTGCAGCCCTTGGGGACTTCCCCTCCTATTTCCCAGTTTGCTGTCACATGCAAGCAGCCTCTGACCTTCCACTAACTTCCACGGAGCTGCTTATGGGAGTAAATGAAGGTCAAGCCATAATTTACCCACTGAGTTAGGCATTGCGAATTAATTCAAACATTATATTTAGTACAAACAAATAAGGAAATCAATGAGAAAAGGAATATAAAATGTGAGATCATTATATTGATTAAATATGTTGGGAAACATTTAACTACCTGTTGGCTCCTGGGGCAGTGGAGGTTTCTGGTTTCACAGTTGCCCCCATGACATTCAGTCAATGGCAGAGCTCTGCTGTTCAGTTTGTTCACCTTGAGTGTCTTTACACATCATTAAGTATTTATAAGCCCTCCATCATTTACTCAAGTGGCTCATGCCACTGTGTGAGCGGCTGTCAGGGAGGTCTCTAGCTCATCTGTTTTCTATGGTCCTAAACAAAACCACAGCCCATCAAAATCTTGGGAATTTCACTCCACATGATAACCCCAAGGGCTTTGTTTAAGACATAGTAGTGTCAAGGAAATGAAACAGTGGGTAAGGAGAACTGGGGTGGAAGATGCTTCTAAGAAGAGAAGCTCTATTATTCATCCAGCATGCCTCAACACACAAAAGTAAGGGAGTTTCAAAGAAATGATGTGAGCAGTTTCATACATGAGCAGATTAAAGAGCAAGAACCATTGGAAGCCATGGTAAACGAAGAGTTCTTAGAAATGGGGAAGCTGCAGGCGATTTATGTAGGCATGCTTGGGTGTTAGCTTACAGCAAGACAACTTCTTTCTGCAAAGTTTCTCTGAGCTGATTTTGGCTATGCAAAGTGATCTGTGTTTCATTAAGGTGGGAATCTGACTGAAACTCGTGCCTAGAAAGACATTATTTACTTTGTTTGATTTACTAAAGTATTGCACTAATCACTCCCTGAAAGGGGAATGAAGCCTGTGCTTTGTCAACCAGCCCCAGAATGTTCCTTTGTAAGTGTGTTTCCACTAATTGTAAGTGAGGAAAGAATTCAATGAATACTTTGCGCTAATGTGACTGTTCTTCTTGATGGCAAATTAGATCCAAAGAGGAGATCCTATCCTAGAAAAGGAGTTTCAAAGGAACAAAGTAGAAGTTTCTGTCAGACGTGTTATCCGGCCTGTTCAGCAGCTTTGTTTACATGTTACTATCACCTATTAAGCTAACAACTTGAGCAATTTGTCACTAAGTGCTTTTCCTCCTAATGTCCCCACTTCTGTGTCAGCATCTTATTTATCACTTTTATTCCAGTATATTACGGCCAGCACCATGCTATGTGAACAGTTCACTTTCTGATACTCTGATCTTTTAATATGAGAAGCAAGTGGAAATCTACATGCCTAAACTGAGATTCATGCTGTTAATTTTAAAAAACACATCCTTTATTTTTTTTCCCTTCCCATTCCCTTTTTCCCCTTCCTTTTCCTTTCTTTTTCCCCATCCATTTCCCTATCCCTGTCCTCATCCCTTTCCCTGCTGCCTTCTCCCACTGGACTTGCAGTGTCCAAGTATCCTTCCTACATTTGACTTGCTCCGTAATGACCCTTGGGACAAGAGAAACAGGATGTTGAGAAAATTCCAACAAGCAGCATACAAGGTAATGTGAACAACTAGAAAACAACGTTTTTTTTTTATCAAAGATGGAGCCAGACTGCAGCAGTGCATGAGAGAACGGGTGCAAATGCAAGTAGGAGACATGAAGACTATACATAAGGAAGACCTTTTCCACTATGAGGACAGTCACATATTAGAGCAGGTTGCCCAGAGAGATTGTGCAGCCTCCATCCTTGGAGGTTTTCAGGACCAGACTGGCTAAAGCCCTGAGCAAGATGGTCTGATCTCATAGCTTCCCTTACTTGGAGTAGGAGGTTGGACTAGAGACCTCCTAAGGTCCCCTCCTACCTGAATCATTCTGTGGTTTTATGAATTCTTTTAAGAAGCTAAAGATGATATCAATAGAATGACTTCATGAGTTAATATCTTCCATTTGCACTCCTTTTTTATTTTTCCTCAGAAAATTCAAATGCTGGAAGCAATATGCAGATTTTCTGTGCTCCTCATATGCAGTTTAGATATATTTTTAAGATATATTCTTTACCACAGTCTGCAGTGTTAGACTCAGTACAAAAGTCCTGTGTGGTACAAATAATGATGTGGCGAAATGGTCTCTTCTGGTATTAAAACGCAGGGATCTTCAGTGTCACTTTGTGACACATAGCACTGGGCAAATTGCACAATGTATATTGTTACTTATTTGTTTAGTTTCCAGTTTCACAGAACCCAAAGTATTCATCTGACCTCAATTAATTGTCTGTTTACTTATTGTTATATAAATATACACATACACACACCAATAGATACACCTGAAGTATTTTGGCCTGCCAAAAAAAGTCTGTTAAATTGTAAGACTAAATGAATAGTTGCACTAGTTTTGGTGTGTAAGGTCACTGTGGAGTAAACATCTATTCTACATCTCTCCATCCCCATTTTATCCGTCCTGAACAGAAGACAAAAGATAGCAGAAGCTCTTATATAGAAATATCGGAATGACCTTTGTAGAATAGTTAGAAGTGTTGTGGGTTGCTATGGCTGTAAACCTCAGATTGTTCAGCTTAATATTAAACTTTATAACTTGTAATAATTCTCTTAGATTGTGATTCAAATTCGACAAAATCGCTTGCTACATTTGTTCCATGAGCTAAACAGAGAAGCCAGAGGGTTGGAGGAAGTCTCTGGGTCTGGTAAGGAATAAAAGAACAAACTAATAATTTTGGCAATGAATTATGATCGCTTGGGTTATACTGCAGTGTGTCAAATGCACTATGTTTCTACTCACATGCATATGTAAATACACAGTCCTTGCACAGGAGCTTTCAAGCAGTAAAGAAAAAGTGTGACAAAGTAGAAATGATTGCAGTCAAAATGTGTCTCTTTTAAAAATTATTTTAAAAGGTCATAACTGTTCTTAGGATGTTTTTCTCAATACCGTTTTTTTCCAAACAAATGCTTGCAAAGCACTCATATGACTTTTATTTTGGGCCTGTTCAACTGCAAAAGGTAGTAGTTCATTTCTTTGTAATGAAATGAAAGTGTTGACCTGGAAAAATCACTTCTTTGACAGTCACAGAAGGAAACTGCCCTTAGATGGAGTCACAGTTTGATGGGGACTGAGGAAGATTTGTGTCTCTTGCTTCTCATTCTTTGACAGCTCACACTTTGACACTCACTTTGATAACTTCTGAAACACCTTTCCATATCAGAGCTTTCCTGCTTCTGCAAGTGGGGCCTCTTTTATTCCCAGCATGCAAGAAAACTCATTGCAGGAACTGTGGGAGTGTTTTAGGCAGGAGCAGCAATGGCAGTCAGTGTAAAAGGAGTTCTGACTTAAGTCTGCCTTGCTGCGTGAAAACAGATAGAGAGGACCATGCTGGAATGTGTGGGCTGCGATGACACTCTTGAGAAGAGGTAATCAAGTCTGTCTAGTAGTCATGGTATTGTGCCTGCTCTCCTGTAGATGTAGCATTTAAAGCCTTTAGAAAAGATTTTCTTTTATTTCATATTAAAATGACTACACTGATCTTAAGGAATATGTTAAATACGTGTTTTGTGTTTGATTCTATTTTTGTAGCAGTGATTTTTGTAACAGACATTACAAAACATAACCTTGCTCTCTGTTAATGACAGAGAACAGGAGTTTCAACAAACCAGAGAAGTGTAAGGCCGTTTCTTCCAGCATATCCGAAGACCGTATACTACCGTTTGAATTCCCCATTTACAGTTCCCCCCAGTTGCACTGTGATTTGGTGAGTATTGTGCCTAAAGTGGCAGCAACTACTCAAGTCAGAACTTTGTTGAAGACATTGGCCCCAGGCCAAGTGCTGCTTTTATCAAAGCTTTACAGTGTGACTGTTATTGTAGAGTTGCAACAAATAAATGAATTACTTCAGAAAATAGTTTTAAACAATTGCATTTTCTTAATTTAATTCTAAATTTCTGAATAAAATATTAATGGCCAGGGCTAGTTAAAGTACTGGATTTGGCAGAAGAAATGGAAAAAAAAAAGGCAACTAAAAGACCAAAATCCAACAAGGGACTGGAGATATATCAGTGTGTTAGCACAATTATTTCTATGTATATTCAAGTAGCTATGCTGATGAATGGTTGCCAATGGAAAACAAAATTCCCACCATATTGCTGGGCTTTAATGCTATATTCTCTCAGGCACCTGATGCTCTTGGCCCGGTTCCAGTCAAATCTGCAGATGTGCAAGTGAGACACGTTCTTCCCTATTACGACTTGAAGGTGAGTCAGTAGAGCTCTCGACTCTGTCATGTGTTCTGTTTTATTAGTCCAGTTAGACACGTTTTCTGCCTGATTTAGTAGCCCCAGTGTGCAGCACAGTAGAAATGTTGCCTTAATAAGCCTGTGTGATTAGCATGCTGTTATTAAAAACAAATCTCGTCTATTTCTGTAAATAACCAGCTGTAGCCAGCAGTAGGAGACAGAGTAATGAATCACCTCTGCTGTAATTATTGTATCTCTAGCAGTGAGATGCATCTTCTACTATGAATGAGGATACTGTGCAAAATCCCCCAAGCAACTCATAACTTTTCCTTTCATTTCAGAGAGCAAAAATGCTATCCCATTATAAAGATGTCCTTCATCTTTAGCAAGTAAATGAAGTCTGGTTTTTTGGGATTCGCATATATTTTCTTAGTCCCTGCATAAGAAATACAGACATCTCCTTCTTGAAGTTCACAGTATTATTTTTCAACTTTATGAATACAGAAACATAAAGTTTCTGTACTCATACTTCTGTACGCATAGTTACTCTGTAACTTCTAAAGTTACTTTTGACTGTTCCATTTTTTTTCTCAAATTTTTGGGTAGCAGAAGATCAAATTCTGCATCTCATCGAAGTAAAAATATTTCCTGAGATTCAAACTGATGCAAGTTTTAGCTCAATTTCCTCTTCCCTTTTTTCTTCTTTTCCAGGTTCAGAAGCTTTTTGTTAATATCTTTTTCCCTTGTTAAACAACTGTTTCATGTATCAGTGTTAGATGTATTGCTAAATACAGTTTTTCTCTAACCCACTGAGTTCAGTGCATTTGATCAAGAAATTATTAAGTTTATGGTCTTTCACAGAAAAGCAAGAATGAAAATACTCCTTTACGTTCTCATTCATCTTGTACCAGTGAACTATTTCTCCTGGAAGATTTGGCCACATACCACATTCGTGAGTAGTGGGCCATGTATCTATTACCACAGAGATGTGACATGTCCATGCTTCAGCTGAACTGTTCCCCTCTGTCTGTGAGTTTAGCAAAAGAGGTTGTTTTCGTGTCCTGCAGTACCTCTTTTTCCTTTGTTCTTAGGTTCCTCAGCATTTCCGCATCATGCGATACCAGCCGTTCTGTACACACCATGCGGCCACAAGTTACAAACCTCAGAAGCTTTCCCGACCACTGAGGCAGGGAGCCCAGGTAACAAGTCATCTTAAATACAAACTTCTTTTGCTGAAGTCAGTCCCAGCCCTACATTTCTACAATTTTTTGATTAATTTTGTTTCAAGACATTTTACCAAAAGACTAAGTGCACTCTGACATCCATTGATGTTTGTGTTTTTTCAAGGATGAGTTGATTCAAATAATTGCTTCTCCTGAGAGACAAGTGAAGTTGACCTCCCAGAGGGAGGATTTTAGCAAGCAATCTCCAGAAGTGGCAGAAAAGGATATCAGCCTCTTAAACCTGGTTCCTCCCCAGGCTTTAGTCCACCCCCTTGAGAGCAGCCCACTTCGTATTTTTGTAAGTTGAAGTTTGTTTCTACAAAGAACCTAAGAAAGGAGGGGGCCCAATATGAAATCAGTGTGCAATTTTCTTCATTCCTTTTGTAACCTTGCCCAGGTAGCAGGACTGCTGCAATCTTTTCCTTCTGGACAACTAGGGGACTGCAATTCCACTTCATCCTTAGGCAAACTGAGAAAAGTAAAATCAAACTCTTGGCTTGCACTGAATCCATCTATCTCGGAACTTCTGAGAGTTCTCATAACATTGTAAAGTAACTTTTCCAAGTCACAGCCATGGTGCATTGGAAGATTTTCAGTGCCTTGATTTTTATGCAGGTTGTGCTCCTTGGATCAACTGCAAGAGGTGTTTCCCACCGCGGGCAGTGTGGCCTGGCAGTCCCTGAGGTGGTTCTGAGCCCGCAGAGGCAGCCGTACAGCTCAGTGCTGTGCAGTGTGTGTGTGCAGCAATGGCTCCCTGCCAGCATGGCACTGTGCCTCAGTTGGATTACTCCGTCTTTCAGCATAATTTGTTTCCTCAAATGACAGACACGCCAGAGCCCAGCTTCAAGCAAGGGTATTTTTCTCCCAGACTTGAATTGCTATATTAAGACAGCAGAGAACATGAATGAACTAGGCAAACTTTGGATCTGTGATGTGGGGAGAAGGGAGATCAGGTCTAACACTGAACAGGAGAGTCACTATTAGATAAAGATGTGAGTTTGGAGTGACTGAATTAATTCTAAGAACTGAATTTTCATTGACTTAATTCTTTGCGGCACTCAGATTTTTTAAAATAATCTCTTCTTTGTTTTCAGAATCCCACTCCAGGTGTATGTCCAGTTTTACCTCCTTTGCCCTATTCTGAAACAAATATTGAATATCATCTTTGTCCTCTTCCAAAATATACCTTTACCAAGGAATGCCCCAAAAGATCCAGCATTCCAATCACGCAGAAGAAATTTCTACATCATAAGGTATGGCCTATTTTCTTTATTGTATGAGTACCTGCCCTGTTTTTGCTGAGAATTGTTCTATGGAATCCAAAAGAAAGATGAATAATCATCCTAAATAGAAAAAAATCTGAAGTATAAATTATGCATATACCTAAATAGTCAATAAGCAGGTCAGAATATGTTTTTATTATTAGAACTCTTCCATGCCCTATGTGTCCCTATGTACTTCTCTGCTCTTTCTTTCTTTTCACTCTCTGCTATATTTTCATGGCCTTGCAGTGGAGAAAGCATCTTTTAGATATAGAGAACTGCAGATCCCCAAACTCACTTCTCAACCAACAAGTCTGTCAGTCTGTCCCCAAAGCCTCTCTCCCGCTGCATTTTGTTTTGAAGGTGATTGCTGTAGCACTTGTCATTTTAGGAAGTGATTCGTGGAGTAATGAGCTGGAGAAGATTTTTGCCAGTGGTGTATTCTACATTTTCCAACACTCCCACATTGACAAGTACAAGATCTAGGTAAGAATGAATTTGAATGTACAGTACCACCAGCTTCTACTGTCTGCAGCTGTACTGACTAGTAACAAGTCCCACAGCTATAAATGTGACTGTAGGTGTAATAAGTTGCAGCTCAGAAATATCAAATGAATAGAGAAAACACCTGCTGACCTCCTTGGAGGAAAGATTAAGATCAATATAATTAGGTGAAATATCTAGCCCTGCAATTGGAGCTTCATTGAGGACTTTCAAAAATACCTGCTCCAAATGCTTCTTTGATTTCCTCTCAGAAGGCTCTGGGAGGTACAAGCCCAGTGTGTGGGGCAGAAATAGGCACACCAAAACCTGCAGAATGTGCAGCAGCTGCGCACAGCCGGAGCCAGCCTGTCTCATGCTCACCTTCCCTCGTGTCACTCTACTTTCTGGTATACTCAGATTTTCATGGAATATTCAAAAATACATCTTCTTTGTAACTGCAGCTACCATGAAGTTGAAATGTAGTTATTGCGTGTAGTTCCTCTCTGCCTATCTTAAACAAATACCATTTCCATCACAGGGATCCTTACAGTTTGGATATGCTTCCAAGAAATGTGCCACCAATGCTGGATGACTTACCTGAGAGAGACAGGGAAAATATAAATGATGAGTAAGTTTTTCCTCTATTATGAATTCAGTATGATTGATTAAGTGTTAACCATTTGTGTGAATGTGTCTAAACCTGTCCTGAGAGATCCTCAAAGACAAAAGCAGAAAATTCCTCTTGTGTAAGACATTATTTTGTTTTGCTTGGCTAAAATTACCTTTAAAGGGATAAAATCTCACTTTTCTTCAATTTCTAGTGAGGTAGATGAAGCTGAGTTTGAAGTGGTACTTACTCCAGACATGGTAAGAGCTGAATTTCCACAAATTGGACAGGTGCTCTCAGAAGAAGGCAAAGAGAAATCAGCAAAAGAAGAAAGGTAATTATAATTATTGAAATTAGGAGGGAAGAATGGAAAGGAATGTGAGAACATGCTTCTCCTTTCGAATTATATAGAAAGTCACCCTGAAATGCCTTGCAGACATTGCAGAATAGCATGCAGATCTGTCACTTTGATAAAATCAGAAGTCTCCTGTCTGATACTTTGCACTGCATGTACAGTCTGTGGATGGGACCTGAGAAGGCATCTGTGAAGGTGACATACTGGCCCAAACCGAGTCAGAGACTTTGGTTTTAACAATGCAGTCTAGTATTTGAGGCAGTTTTCTTATCCTCTCAGAGATGTTTGCTGTTCTTGGACCAGTAGATTTTCAGTTCTTTTTGGTTAGATATTGATTGCTGCTGGCAGAGATTTGAGCCCTTAGAAATTTCCCCCTGTGATGGTGTTTTTTCCCCTGGAACTTTTCCGAGGAGCTGGTCACACTCACTGTGCTATCCCAGCTTCACAACTCCATGGATGTCTGTTATATTTCAGACACCCAACGCAGCATGTAAAACAACTTGCATTCCCAAACACAGAGTTGCCTGCTCCCTGAAGTGTTATAAATTGACCACCACAAGGGCCAAGTTCTGCCGATTGCTTTCAGTGTTGTGAGACACATGTCCCAAGTTTGGAGTTCAGGAGAGAAACCTTGTGAGGTATCTGAGGTTGGAGAAAGCCTTGAGGGACAGGTTGGCCTTTTGTTGGGTTTAGTGATTGCCACGATGAGTAAAGAACAGTTTGCAGAATGGCCCAGCTGTTCTGTGGGGCCAGAAGCAAAACTGGGGATATGTGATTTTGCAGGAAGGATGCAGGGAGGTGTAGGAGTTAGTGAGAGGGACACTAGGGGCAGCATCTTGACCAACAGGCAGCATGGTCAGGATAAATGATGTCAGAGAACATAGGAGAAGGTGCTGGGTTCCAGCCCTGTGTTTTCACAGACTTCTTGTATGACTTTGAGCCAGTGAATGAATCTTTCTGTCCAATAGTTGTCCCTGTTTCGAAGCAGGCATGATGATGCTTAGCTGCCTAGCTGATTGGGATGTGTATGCTAGCTTGAGACCTTCAGAGTCACCAAGGAATTTGAATATCTCATTTTCTTTAATTTTAGGGGAATGATTGACATTCGAATCTTGGGAAAGTCTATCAGCTATTAAAATTTTAAACTGTGGTAAATATGAGCTCTCTGACAAGCCACTGATTGCTGTATTGTGATTACTACAACTTTGATTGAAAATAATATGCTGTATAAAGATCATGTGTGCCTGACTCAGTGTCGCTTTTTGCATTTTCTGGCACTGGTTACCAGAACATGGTTTTGGGATAGTTTGTGTAACTAAAGTTTGACTTTTTATCTCCACAGTAATATAGTGCTGGATGGCGCTTTTTCTAGGTAAGCAGTTGTATGACCATGAGATCTATTCTTTCTGAAGTTCAGATGTTTTCTTCAAAACTCTAGGATAATGCTTTCCTAAATTACACACCTCTAGTTATTGATTTTCAAGAGACCTTTTCAGTCCAGTTTGGCTATCTCTAAATCTGAGAATGCTACTTCAACTGATGATCTAAACTGCAGTTGTGGAGCATTTGTTATATATAATAGGACATAGCTATGCAAAAATAACAGAATTCATATAAAAATGGCAGTTCTGCTTAAGAACTGTGGAAGCTGCTGTGAGGCAACAGAAGCTCCATCATAGTAAAAGCTGGCTTAAGTTTACGTCTCAGAACGGCCACTTGAAGAAAGAAGGTGTCCCTGGAAAGTGGTGGATGCTGGCTGTTTATATTGAATTTGTTCATAGACCCTGATCCTACAAGGACTGAGAACACAGGAAAGAAAAGTCTTCTGGCAGATTTGGGTGGGCCTTTCGCTGCCAGTTAGACTTGGTGGGCATTTTCTTCCTTGGCTGGCTTTGTGATGAGGGAAACAAAGTTTTATTATCAAACAATGAAGTTTTTTCATTCTCTTCTTCTGGTCATTACAGTGTATGTTTCTTTATAGATAAAGCGTAGAAACTCAACCTAGTTTATGTTTACCTATCAGGTAATTAGCTTTCCTCCCTAGCCAAGCAGAGTGACTTCTTTTTTCCAAATTTCATTCCTCTTCCAGTTTGGTGCAAGTAATGAAATACAGAGTATTCACATGGAATAGCACACACAGAGATTCCTTACTAAAACTATAAAAAAGAGAAGTTCTGTGTATCTTCCTTTTTTTTAAAAAAAATCAATGTTTCTCACTAATTTGCCTGGCTATTTTAAATATAAATGGTTTTCTGAACCTCTTGCAGAGATCCACAAAACTATACAGATGGACGTTTTCAACCGCAGAACGAGCGGCTAAGGGAGAAGGTTCAAAAACATGTGGAGAAATTGAAGCTGAGTGCAATTAATAAAGCCCTTATTCTGGAATAAGAGCGATTTAATGAATTCTGTGCTCATTTTTTCACTGGTGTGAAGGACTGGAAACTACCATATGCATAGATTTGTACATAGTCTACTTTTTCCAAATAAAGAGTGAAAAGTCCTCATGACCAAATTGTTCAGATTTGGGTTTTTAATTATGATCTGTCTTTGAATTTTTGCAGGTAAGTCCCTCTCTGTCTTGACTGTAAATCAAACACATGAATTTGTTAATGGAAGACCTAAACACTGTGTTACTGTCCACAAAAATAATATCCAAGCAGATTTCATTACCTGCTTTCAGGATTTAATTCAATGAGCATCTCTCTTGACAAAAGGGAGCGTGAACTGGGGTGATAAAGGAGCAATCTAGAGCCTGATGGGGGCCCTGTGATGCATAAGGTGTATTCCTTAGGAAAGGAGAATAATAAGCATAAGATGTCACCTACTTTCCTGTGGACAAACTGGCTGTCAGATATTTATCCATCGGTAGCTGGTGGCTCATTTTGAAGAATGGTATAGGCTATTTGTGCTGAAAACTGTAAGTTTTCTGTACTAAAGGTTTGGCAAAGGAAACAATATATTGCATCCTTTGGAGCCATGCCGCTTTTGTGGTGTATTTCAAGCCACCATGAAAAGAAGTTTCTTTCAGAGATAAGAGTGTAGACAGCTTGTAAAAGGCTCAGGAGAAAGAAAATGGGAAAATGGGGTGGAAATGAAACTGCAGGATAACCTGCATTATACTGTATTTGCTCACTTTAGAGAACTAGCTGTTAAGTTTCTGACAACCATCTGTTCAGCAACAGGTGGTTCAGAATGCAGGTTTAGATATCTACAGAGTTTCTTTGATTAAAAACAACTGGTTAAATACTTGCTTTTTTTCTACGGGGAGTCCTGATGAAAACAGGTAATCTTTTAAGAGGTTCATTAAAACTGAGCATGGTGATGCCCTTATTAAAAGCATGATTTTTAACATGGCCATGACAAAATAATTTTTAACAGCTTAAGTTAAATCCAGTGTTTTGAGATCCTTAGGAACTGTTACGCATCAGCTAAATTTTGATGTCTGATGAAGATGGAGTAGGCATTCAGAAGCAGTGGTGATGAGAGTAACCGCATTTGATATTCTTACACCAGTATTGTTCAGAAGCAGTGGTGATGAGAGTAACCACATTTGATTTTCTTACAGCGGTATCCTTTTTCCTTCCTTCTCCTCCAGAGTTTTGCTGTCACCCCAGTGAGTGAAATTAGACCTGTTCCTGCACTGGTAAAGACCTGATCTTTGAAGAAGTGAACACATTTCTATGTAAGTGATCCTCCTTTCTGTGTTTTAAAGCTTTTGTGGGGCAGGGTTCAGTGAGAAGGTAAGATACAGAAAGCTGTTAAATTGTTCTAAATTCTGCCCTAAATCCAATGAGACTGTTTGAACAGCCAGTAATGCACAGAGCTCTGTCCATGCCTGTATCCCTCCTGGATTCCTCGTAATATGAAGTTGATTTTTACCCACTTGAGGTGATAATCTGTCAGAGGAAATCCAGCTGTGCCGAAGATGAAATTGGCTGAATAATTAGGTCTATGATTTTCATAGATGGATCCAGTTAAGTATTCTCCTGGCTGACTACAGAACGCTTTCGGAATGGAATATAACCTGTAAGAATTACAACCTGCAGTTCATGGTTACTCACAGCACTGTGCTTGTTCTGTGTTTTGTGTGAAATGTGCAATCCCTGAGGGATTGCAGAAAATAAATAGAAATAAAAAGAGGGTTTTGTCAGGAATGAAATGGTAGAATTGTGGTCTAACATTATCCACGGCACTGAAGTATTCTTGACTTTATGCCATGTCCTTATTGAAGAATCTGTTTTGAATAAAATGTGTCATTCTGTTCTCGGTTAATCCCATGGATGTGCAGATTAAGTACAGTACTTCATTGTGAACTAAGATCACAGTTAATATTATATGTGGCCCAGTTACCAGATATTCTAATGTTGATTTGTGGATTACCTCATTTCTGGGAATCAAAGGCCTGCATTTGTACTGACTCAAGTGAGTAAGTAAGAATGTGTAAATTGATGTGCAGAACATGACAAGTTTATTTCCTTTTGCTGCAAATCCAACTAGTGCTTCTTGTGCTGTTTGGAAAGGATTAATTGGCTAAATGATGGTTTCATCTATTCTACCAGTTAAGATATATCTATCTTGGCTAAAAAAGGCCTGTCTGATTAGCAGGGTTAATAAGCACTGACTCATGCTTTAGCTCTTCTCCCTTTTATTACATAAGAAATGAGCGTTACCGTCTAAATCAAATAAAAGGTACATTTTGAAAAATAAGAATGTATTAATGTTTTTATATGGAAATTATCTGCGAGCTTCAGTGCTTTGTAACTGGGTATTAATCTCACTTACTCTTCTATGATGAGTGAAAGACCATCAGGGTCTTTAAAATGAAAATTATATTTTAGAAGAGGGCTGGGAGAAAAAATAGCAATGTACATCTGAGGTAAAGAAGTGAGTGAAATTGTGTTTTTAGCTTGCAAGACAAGTTTCGTGAGCAAATTGAAGAAAACTTCTATCTCTGGGTTTGTAGCACAGGTATCATTGATTCCAGCTTTCTTGTTGTTTGGCATTTATTTTGTCTCAAGCCTGCACAGGTTTTCTGCTGTCTTATAGGGCCTATGCTCATACTGCAGCTTTCCCTCACAACTGCGTGGTGAAAGCTTCTCTCCAGCTATTTTACCAGGCAGGATTTTAACTCTTGCTGAAACCTCTCCTGCTCCTTCAGTTTGGTTGGAATTAGCCAGCAGGACCTCTGTGACCTTTGAAAATCAGAACTGTCACTGATGTACTTAGCTTTTGTCTAGAGGAGATAATAAGGCAGAAGTTTTTAAATATTTTATTTCCTCTTTTATTCTGCTTTTCCCACTGTTGGGTTGTGTACTAATTACTGACCTCACTTGCCCAGAATGAGTCTTCTTCCTCAAGAGGATGAGGCTGCACTATCTTTTTTTTTTTTTTTTGAAAAGCAGAAAGCCTCCAGAGAAGGTTTTTAAAACAGTGAGCAGTGTCAACAGCTGTTCAGTGCCACGGCACTGACAGATTTATTTCCCCATTGGCATCGTATCAGAGCCCCGATCAGAATGGATGTAACATTCAGCTCCCCTTGCCCTCTGTGTCCGCCGGGGGCAACGGCAGCCTCTCCATGGCACTCAAAGTTGTCCAGCACAGGAGCCAGCTCTTCTAATCTGAACAACCTTCTCCACCTGGTGCAGCTCTGCCTGCTGCCAGGTGATAGACAGGAGTAACTGCTTTGGTGGGGGACTCTGAAGAGCCGGCAGGAACACAGAGCTGCAGCCACGTACAGCTCTTCTCCGGCCCTGTGCTGGGGGCATTGTCAGTAGCAGGTTGTTTTACAAACATCTTAAGTATCCTGTGTCATTTCTACAAAGTTGTAATTGGTCACATGTCTCCTGAAAACACTGCTGCACTGAGCCATCTTTTAGCTGTTTGTGTACTGCTGTATCCTCTGAGAAGGCTGGATTTGTCAAAATTTAAATCAATGCAATATTGTGCCGGTATCTTTTACCACAAAAGAGAGCCAGATCACACTGTCTAAAAAAAAGATAGACCCATCTAAACAGGCTTTCTTGTGCCAGTCAACACCTGCAGAAACCAATTGGTCCTGAGGGACTTTCCAAATTATATCTGTATAGCCACAGCAGGGACTTGAAAAATTAAATCAAGCAATCTCCTAAAGACTCCAGGTGATTTCAGAGACCATGCAGGAAGTATTTTTCCAAAGCAAAATACATTGGAAAAAAAAACATGGGAGCTGCCTTCTTGTGCCTTATGTAGTTTTGCTCCAGCACTTTCATGTTTTTCCAAAGATTAAAACTTGATTAAAGTGGGTGAGGGCTTCTCAGGGTGAAAAGCAGTAGCACTTTATTCTATCTTTGAAGAAATTAAATTCCCAGGACCTGATTTTGCTGTTAGTTGAGCATAGGTTTTTTAATGGCTGTCATGAGCAAAATGGTTACTGCTTTTCCTGCTGTTAGAAAAGGCTGTCCAAATATTTCAGTGAGGTTCTATGAGTTTTTAATTGCACAAGGGACTGAGCTAACATCGTATTATTTTTAATCAGCTCGTTTTATCTGGCTTCAGAATTCTGAGCCAAATTATACCTCTCTCTCACCAGCTAATTACTGGCTTAATAATCATTTCACAGTGTGGAGTCTCCAGTACCCTGATATGCATTGCCTACAAATCAATAATGCACTTTGACACCTCAGGGATATCGGTTGCACGATCATTGGCTGAGTTTCAGAGCAGCAGATGAAGAAACTAAGGCTTATTTCCCAGGAGTTTGGATTTGCATGATTAGTTCACTGTGTGTTACCCTGAAAGCAGACCACAAGTACCCAGAGAGAATTGCTTTCAAACAATTCTGCTTCGCTTCCCGGCTTCTGAGGGGCCCTTCCCTGCAGACAGCATCTTGTTTCCACAGACTCGCTGCTGTGGTAGCAGTAGGCCCAGATGTCCCCCATGCCAGGAGTCAGCAGTCATGGGTAGTCATTTTATATATTTATACAGCAGGACCTGGTGCAGTTCAGTATACTCAAAAACATTGTCGATGAACAGACTGTGTCTGTTGCTAGAAGAAGCGGCCACATTTTTTTTTCTGATTCCCTTGTAGCTGACAGAGCAGGGACTCTCAAAAGTCCTGAAGTTCAGCACCTCCTGCTAATAACCCCTCGATATCAATGTGAGGAATATCTCCATCCACCACTGGAATGCAATTTAGTTTGTTGTAGCTGTTTGATAACATCGTCCAGCAGCTGAAGAGGAGCAAAATAGCTACATCTGCTATAACAAACCAGGATATTTCCTTGCTTGTGCAGAGCCCTGGGAAGATTTGTAACTAGACTGTGCAGGTGGGTACAGCTGGTCAAAGACAGGGTGCCCATTTGCTTATGTCGGGTTTGGGGAGACATTGCCACCTGTTCTGGATGGGAGGC